CGCCGGCAGGCCCAGCGGCGGGAGGGGCGCCCCGGGCTGCGGCGGGCCCCCGGGAGCGGGCGGCACGTCCTTGTGGCAGCGGCGGTGGCGGATGAGGCTGGACACGTGGTTGTAGGTGCGGCCGCAGACGCCGCACTCGTAGGGCCGCTCGCCTGAGTGCACCAGCATGTGCTGCACCAGGTGCGAGGACTGCTTGAAGGACTTCTGACACACGCCGCAGGGGAAGCGCCGCTCCATCAGGTACTTGAGCCTCCGGAAGTAGCCCTTGTCGTCCTTGGCCGGGTCGCAGGCCGCCGCCCCTGCGGCGGGCCCCGGAGGGGTCTGTGAGGGGGCGGGAAGCGGCCCCGGGGTCCCGGTGGGAGAGGCCAGCCCCGGGGTCACCCCCGGCCCGGTCGCGGGCCCTCCGCGTTTCAGGTTCCCAAAAAGGTGCTGGTGTCCAGACAGGTCGACGATGCCCCACTGCGGGGCGGGGAAGGCAGCATCAAATAGGGGGGGCGGAGGGGGCCCGAAGGCGGGCGGCAGGGGCGGGTCGGGCTTCTTGGCCTGCGAGGAGGACGACGACGAGGACGACGACGACGAGGACGACGACGAGGAGGACGAGGACGAGGACGGCGCCTCCGCCTTGGGTTTGAAGGTCGCCTGAGGCGGGTAGTCGTACTGGGGCGGAGGGGGCTGGGGCGGGGGCTGGGGCGGCGGCCCGGGGGCGCAGGGCAGGGCGGCCACCGCCTTGGCGTGCTCCCCGTACAGTTCCATGGGCTCGAAGCGCTGGTGGTTGAGGAACTCCAGAAAGTCGAAGGGGTAGCTCTGGAAGTGAACCCCGTCCTCGCCCCCTATGCCGCTGCCCCCACCGCCCCCGGCGGCACCGCCCGCTGCGTTTGCCTCCATCTCGGGCGGGGTGGGCGACGGCAGACCCTGTGGAGAAGAGGAGAGGGCTGAGGAAAGGGGACCGGGCGCCGGACGTCAGGGCCATCTGCCGGAGCCACAGTCTGCCTCCCAGCCTTGCTCCTCTCGGCCCCCCCCCCCGCCCCTCCAGCGCACAGGGCAGCCCCCCTCCTGGCTCTAGCGCACCACAGACGCCTGCTCAGCCGTCCACCTCCTTGCTGGGGCCCCTCTGCTCCTGCCCTCCCATCCCTTCCACGTTCCCGTTGTTTCTGGGGTCTTCCCACATCCTTTCTCCCCATCCCCCAGGCCCTCAGCTCCGCACCCCCAATCTAATTCTCCCAGCACCCCTTGCCTCTGGTGGCAGTCCCCTTACAAACTCTTGGGTATCAGCACCGTGTCCTACCCCCCTCTCCAAAACACACACACACACACACACACACACACACACACACACACACACGAGCCCCGTTCTCAATCCCCTCAGGTTTTGCCTCTAAAACGACAAGAGGGTGGACTCTAGAGCTCAAGTGCCAGATAGGAATCTGAGGCCCACCACATTCCAGCTGTGTGACCACAGGCAAGTTCCTGAACCTCTCTGTGCCCGGATTTCCACATCTACGAACAGAGGTGACAAAGCACACCCCTCCTGCTCGGGGTCGATGTGAGGCTCCAGCAAGCAAATAGCAGGCCTTCGGGTGGAGGCTTCCTGGCACTTTGCAAGCATGCGGTAAGTGGTATTATATCGATACCCTCTCAGCACTAGCAGTAGACAAAGTCAAGACAGACCAAGAGAACTGGGATGAAATCAGTGTTGGGGAGGGCCGTGTTCTTTTACTACAAGGTGTTTGCCTGGAAGAAGCAAGTTACACCGGGAGGCCTGGCACGGAGAAGGCAGCCTGACGCAGCAGGAAACAGGTGGGCACTGCACCTGGGCAGACCTGGGTTCACATTCCCTCTCCTTCCCGAACCTCGCTTTCTCCATTTCTACAAGGAGGCGGTAACCCCTAGGCTGCAGGGGGAATTTAGGGAGCTCACTCTGCACGGAAGGAAACATTATGTGTACCTTCGGTGACATCACACACCTGGGGGACCCCGACAGCAGATGCCTAGGGGGTGCAGGTCTCCATCCTCACCCCAGGTGGGGATTTCCCTGCCTCCTGTGCAATGGCAGTCAGTCTCTGGGCACCGCCTTTACAGTATTTGTCATCCCAGAAGGCAGGTGTCCATGTCTGCGCCCCGGCCCCCACCAAAACCTCAGCTCCTACAATGGACTTTTGAACCTGAGCCACCCAGGGGGCCCGGGAAACACCTCCACCAAGTCCGCGGACAGTCAGTGGGAGAAGAGCCCCCAAGGTGTAGCATGCTTCTTGTCCATAATCCCTGGCCCATGGGGGCCTGGCTCTGTGCCCACAACAGGGGTCAGCGATGCCTACCAAGGCCAGGGCCCATCTGCCCCCAGCCAGCCAGCTGGCTCTCTCCTCTCCACAGGTGAAAGGTGAGTGTCTCCTCCACTCCTCCGCCAAGAGGTCGGTATTTTTAGCCTCTAGCTCTGGGTGTCCTTGGACGAGACTCAACATCCCATGCCCTTCACACCCCCTCTGGTTAATTTGCTCTTCAGAAGGAACAAAGGCATGGCTGCAGTGGTGGTGGGAGCCTGTGGGGGAAACCTAAACCCAGGAGACCGGGAGAGTGGGCTGGGTGGGCAGAAAGCACATGGTAGAGAAGTGCAAGGGGCAGGGGAAGGAGGTGTCTTAGGGAAGAAACCACCGCCCTGGCTTGCCTCCATCAGGGTACGTATTAATAACAGGTAATGTTGACTGGGCATTTCCTACAAGCCCAGTGTGCTCCCAGCACATTATATATATTAACTCAATCCCCCCAAAATCTATGAGACTATGACATAGGGACTATTGTCCCCATTTGACAAAACAGAAGCAAAGAGAAGTCAAGTAAATTGCCCAAGGTCACAGAGCAAGTCTGCGGCTCAGCCTCCCCACTTCCCCCACCAGGCTGTTTGTTTCCTAAGGTGGACAAAGGTGGGGTGGACTGTGGGGCCTGGAGCCTTACTGGGGGGTGTTACCTAGGTGATGGGAGTTTATGTAGGGGGCTGGGTGGGAGGGGAAGGGGGTGTCTGTCTTGAACGGATGGAGCAGTGATGTGGTGAGTCTATTCCTCAGATCTCAAGGTTCAGTCCGGTGCCTGCTTCAGGTCCCTGTTCAGATGTCCTCTCCATCCTACCCAATCCTCCCTAACCCCTCATCTTGCTGCATTTTCTCATCACTGTCACTGCCACCACTTGCTGTGTGTATTTCTTTGACTGTGTGTTTACTGTCTGGCATCCCCACCTAACAGAATAAGGATTTGGTCCGTCTTGTTTGCCGCTGTGCCCCCAGCACCGAGCACAGCACCCAGTATGGTGTGGTTGTTTGATAAGTATTTGCTGATATATGGGACTTAAACAGCACCCTCCTAAATCACCAGCAGACCCACCAAGAAACCACAAGAAACAAGGAACCCCGGATGAATAAATATGAAAACACAACGTACCAAAACTTAGAGAAGATGCAGCCAAAGTAGGGCTCAGAGGTAAACTGATAGCCTATACTGATAAGTGTTTGTTAAATGAGCAAAGGAACAAGACTGAGCTGACCAGAACCCCCTGAGGGAGGGAGGGGGACGTTTAGCAGACATGGAGTTGACACGGGGTGGAGGTCCCCAGAAGAAGGAATTCAAGGGCGGTGATGTTGTAAGGAGGGACCCAAAGGCGAGTGGGAAGATGTGAAGGGCTACTGCTGTGAAGAGCAGGGAGGAGCACTGGGGGATGGAAGTGATCAGGCTCCCAGTATTTCCACTGGGAAATAAGAGGCATTTCCTCTTTCAGGGGATCCCAGCCTTAAATCGGTGTCTTTCTAAGGGGAGACGCATCCTATGGAGAGAAGCATGATGGGGGCATGTCCCAAGGGGACAGCAACTGCACTCGTAATCATAACAGCTCATGTTTGTGTTTATTGTTCAACCAGTTTGAGGTGCAGCATCGTGAGGCCTCACGATGGTCCTGTACTGTTATCAGCTCCATTTTGTAAGTGGGAAAACTGAGAAAGGGGGGGTCATTTCCCCAAGGCCACATAGCCAGTCAAGGGGAAAGTAGGTATTAGATTCCAAATCTCTCTGATACCAGGACCTGTGGGCCATTCTGCTACAACAGGTTCGACTTGGGATGAAGCTGTACTCTGTTAATAACAGTAACGTGGACACACGTACCGCGTAGTGTGAAGTGCTTTCTACCTGCCTAGTGCTCTTCTAAATCCTTCAACGAATCTTCCTACTGAGTCAAGAAGATGGTGACCACTATCAACTCTGTTTCACAGAGGAAGAGACTGAGGGCCAGAGACATAAATTCATCTCCTAATGTCACACCAGTAACAAGCCGTGGCAGAGCCAGGAATAGGAGGCAGGCAGCAGGGCTCCAGAGTGCGTGCTGTTACCCACTACAGCATGCTGTCTTTCAACATTCTCTCTCCAAAATAAAGGAAGGTCCCCCACTCTGCCTTATACTAGAAATACACTTCGCCGCACCCACTGCCTTGATACCCGAGCCCAGAACCAGCCACCAGGATCTTCTGAATGCTAATAAGCACTGTACTACGTATCTCATGTGGTTTGTCTCCAACTTCATAACACACTCATCAGATAAGCATTACTATTATTCTCATTTAACAGACGGGAGGACTAAGGCCAAACCACGTCCCTCCTCTGTTCAAACCCTGCAATGACACCCATCCCACTTAAAGTCAAAGTCTCTATGATGACCTACGTACCCTCCATGGCCACCTGGCTGCTCCTCCAACATGCCAGCATTCCTACCCCAGGGCCCTTGCACTGGCTGTTGCTTCTGTCTGGAATCCTCTGATTGCTATCTCTATACCTCTCTCTCCCTCACCTCTTTCACACCTCTGCCCAAAGGCTGTCTCCTCAGTGAGGCTCTCCATGGCCCCTGTAACCTGTCATCCACACCAACATTCCGGCTCTTCCCAGCCTGCTTTGTTTCTGTCCTTACCTGTCAGCATCACCCGATAAACCACATATTCTGCTTGTCTTGTTGTTGCTGGCCTCCCCCTCTAGAAGGTGGGCTCCATACAGGCAACGATTTTTACCTGTTTTGTTCACTGTTCTATCCCAGGACCTAGAACAGTGCCTGTCTCCAAAAATATTTATGAAATAAGTGAATGAATGAGGCTAGGAAAAGAGGGAGTGGTTTGCTCAGAGATATGAACACAGTGGAATCCTGGACTCACCCTCTTAAACACTTCACTCTTGGGGGCAGCTGGTAAGAGCAGCCCCCGGTTGGCCACAGTTGTCCAGGAGGGTCGGGATTTACACAGAGGTGTGTGTGTGGCTTTGGGGGGCGACAAGATGACAATGGGAATCTTTTGAAGAAGGCCTTTTTGCCACCCTCTTCTGTGACCATACCCTGATCCTGCTGTATTTTATACACACACACACACACACACACACACACACATTTTGTTTTTTAATTGTCCCATCAGTTAGCATATGCGCTCCATGAGGGCAAGGGTTTTTGTCTGTTTGGTTCTCTGCTGCATCCCCCATGTGTAACAGGTCCTCATCAAACACTTGAACAAATGAACGAATGAACAAATGAAGAACAGTATGGGCTTGGTAGAGCTGACAAAGGCGAGAAAATTGATCACAGTGCCCTTATCCCCAATGCCCTAAGACATCAAACCCTCTCCCTCTTGTTCTCTTCCTCTGCTCTAACCTCACTGGCTTCCCTGGTACTCCTCCACTCACCATGATCACGGCCACCTCAGGACCTTTGCGCTTGCTATTCTCGCTGCCTGAAACCGTCCACCCAGATCTCTACATGGCTAAGTCACCTCTGCTAATTCAGTTTTCACCTCTGAGATAAACCATCGGGCTCTGGGAGAACCCAGAAAACAGGATTTATCTTATTCGTTCACTTGTGTTTGAACTCTCTCAAGTAGACCGTAAAACCCACAAAATGAAAGACCATGTGTATCTCTCTCCTTCACCACTGTATGCCCTGTACCTAGAACAGTGAATGAATGAATGAATGAATGAATGAATGAATGAACACATGCCTGGGGAAAAAAAGAGGTCAGGCCATAGTAAAGATGGGGGTCTTCTCTAGGGCGTCCAGGAGGATGAAATGAAGCTGGGTGCGAAGCGGGAGAGGTTAACGCCACAGAAAGAGGTGGTCTGAGAGGGAGAGGCTCACTGTGGGGCACTGCGCTGTGGGAGGACTGGGGACAGGACTGGGGACCTGGCTTGGGGAGAGGAGGGAGGCACAGCAGAAGTGTTTCATTGGAGCCTGGAGCTAAACAGGCAGCTGTTTCCACCTGAATGGGGAGAGGATGTGGGTGTGAGAGCAGAACTCTAGAGGGAGCTAGCTGTTCTATGGGGGGGGTTTTAAGGCAGTGGGTGGGGGGGGAGGGTTGAAAGGGGTATTCTCAACCACTACGGTACCGGGTCGGGGGGGGGGGGTGGCAGAAGAAAAGAAAAAAGGTATTTTTTGCTGCAGACCAGAATGGAAAGTATTTTTACATCGGGAGGCGGGGCGGGGGGGGGGGGGAGTGGAAATGTGGGAGAATTGGGGGCTGTTGTGTGTGGACAGAGATAAGAGGGGCAGTTCTGCAGCGAAGCACTAATGCAACACTCTTTGGAGGCAGCCTATAGGGAATACTAACGGAGGGTTCACGGGCAGCTGCCCTCCATGAAGGAAGGCAGCGCTGGTGGCATTTGGGGGGCTGTCCTGGAGGCAGCAATGACGAGGGTTACGCAGAAGCGATCCTATGAGAAAGCATTCACGGGGGCCCTGGCAGCAGTTTAAGGGATCGCCACAAATAAGGACGCTTTGGCAGCCGTCCTGCCTGGGGGCGTTAATGGGGCAGATGTCTGGAAGGGTCTTATGGGGGAGCAGTGACTGGGGGGACCCCTGGCGAGGGCCCGGCGGGAGAGGCACTGACGGGGACGTTCTGGGGACCAGAGCGGGCCAGGGCGGGACCCCCCGCCCCCGTTGCCCCCGGGTCCCCGGGCCACGCGCCCCGTCACTCACCGGCGCAGGGGTCTCCGCCGGGAGGAGGCCGAGGAGGCGGAGGAGGCGCCGCCGCTCCGGGGAGACCCGAGGGCCCGACCGGAAGTGCCGCCCCCTCCCCCTCCCCGGCAGCCCCGCGCCGCCCGCCTGCCCGCCCGCCCGGAAGCGGAAGTCGCGCCCGTCTCCGAGGCGCCGGCGTGGAGAAGCGGAAAGAAGAGGCGGTGGCGGCGACCGGGAAAGAGAAGTGCGCCTGCGCACTGGCTCGGGGACGCGGACGGGGAGAGCCTAGGCCGCTTCCGGTAGGCGAGCTAAGCAACGTGCGCCTGCGCCCTGAGCCCCCGCCGCCTAGGGCACGGCCCACATGCTCCGGACATCCGGTTAAGCCACGCCCCTCGCGTAAATCTGGCGTGTAAGCCCCGCCCCCATTCTGAACCACGCCCATTTTAAAACTTAATTATTCAAGCCCCGCCCACTGCCTTAAAATCCATCCTCCTCGCCCAGCACCCACGATTTTTCTCCTGTTTTTACCCACTTCCAAGTCCCCAAGAACTCCACCTATCTCCCCTCAGCCCCGCCCACAGCCCAACACTCTTCTAGCAGTGCCCCCCAGAGGTTTTTAGGCTGCACCAAGCTCCCTGTGTTAGCCCAGCCCCTTCCTAGTAAGCACCCTTCGTCTCAGGCACTTCCCTTCCTTAGTCCTATTTAGGTACCCCCTTCTGTCACCTGTGCCTGAATAACAGTCATGCCCCCCTCACAGCACCTTCTCTTCACAGTTACATCCCGTCTGTCCCAACACCTTGCTCTCCTGCAGTTCCCCCTTGAAACGTCTTCTCTCAGATAAACCCTATTCATATGGCCTCTAAACCGTTTCCACCTTCTGCCTGCCAACCCTTAAACCAAGTCAAGCCCCACCCTTGTTCTCAACACCTGCCCCCTAAACCCCGCCCACAATGCTCGTCAGCCTCACCCCTTAGCCCCAACCCCGCCCCGTTTCCCTAGCCCCGCCCCCTCCTGGCCACACCTCTTATCTAAGTAAGCCTTACCAAAGTTGTCAATTCTGCTCACAACCCTCAACTCGGTTTTTCCTTAGTGTCAGGACAAAGTGATGGAGCAAAGTAGTGGGGGCAGAATTTCCAAGAATATGGCTGGGATGGGGGATGGGGACCTAGATCACATTTGCACAGAGGTTCAATGTTTTACTTAGAGTGGATATTTACAGGGAGCACTTTGCGGTCTGCTGGAGCTGGGAGAGGGGGCAAAGCCTTCCTCCAAGCCAGCCCATAGTGGCAAGCTAACAAGGCACCTGGTACCATCACTGAATACACACAGGAAGCCAGCAGGCAGATATTTATTTCCAAGGCCCCTGCCTCCAGGGGCCTGTCAGTCCGGGGGAGGGTGGCGGAAGGCAGCAGGACCCAGGAGTTTAGGTCCTCACCCTCAACCCCCTCCCACAACGGGAAGACCACCAGGTATGAGGGCGTCCCGGCCTTCCTGCCCAGGCTCAGCACCAGCTGAACGCCCAGCTCTAAACCTGGCCTGGGGACAGGTGGCCCAGGGTGTGGGTCAAGCCAGCTCTTTGCCCTCCGGCTCCTCCACCCCCTCTTCAGCCCCTGCCGTAGCCGGAATGCCCTCGTCGTCCCACGGTGGTTCGGGCCCTGGGTCCGGGGAACACAGGGGTGCCCCCATGGCCTCGGGGTGCTTGCGTTTGGCATGGCGCCGGAGCGTGTTGGCCTCCGTGAAGCGCAGCCGGCAGACAGGGCACTGGTAGGGGCGCTCCCCGGAGTGGACACGGTGGTGGTGGGCCAGCTCACCCGCCTCGCGGAAGCGACGAGGACAGAGTGGGCAGCGGAAGGGCCGCAGGCCGGCATGGATGTTGCAGTGCCGCCGCAGGTGGCTGGACCGCTTGAAGGTCTTGCCGCAATCCTTGCACTCGTGCGGCTTCAGCTCTGAGTGCGAGATGCTGTGGCGTTCCAGGTCGGAGAGGTAGGGGAAGGCCCGCAGGCACACCGGGCAGAAGTGCGGGGCCTTCTTGGGGCCGGAGCCCTCAGGCAAACCAGACGCTGACCCCTCAGAGACTGTATAGGGCACACCCTGATCATCGATCAACAGGAGGTCGCTGCCACCGCCGCTGCCCACAGGGGCTGTCACCCCCTGTGCCAGCGGGGGCTCCTGCCCTGACTTGGGGGGGCGGCCCCGCTTGCGAGGGAGGGCGGCCTTGAGCGTCCGATTCGAGGAGGTGGCCCCCCCAGGGCGCCGGCCTCGGCGGCCCCGGGGAACAGGAGGAGGTAAGGCCAGAGGTTTCTCTTCCTCCCCGGGCAAAGGCGAAGGCAACGGGTCTGGGCTGGGGGTGTCCATTGAGCAGTGGGGGGCTTGGGTCTGGGCACTGGAGCCGGGCTAAGAGGAGAGAGGGGGCAGCCGTCAGTGCAGGGAGGGTCCGAGTCACCCCTTGTCCCCCAACACCTCGCCCATCCCTTGGTCTGAGTCTCTCGACCTGGGCATGGCCAACATTCAGCTGGACAGTTATAGCTACACTGGTGGGTAAAATAGCAAGATAATTCCAACCATTTGGTAAAAAGACACCACCTTTAGCCACACAGGTGTCTCCTAAGCCTCCCTCACCCCCTTCCTAGAAGTTCAGAGTCATGTTGAATCAAAATAAAGGAAAATCTTCATAGGAGGATAGGATAGAGTCCAACTAAGGGTATGGGCCAGTATTGCGATCCTCAAAACAAAGAGCCCATCAAACCTGAGCCATGGAGGCCCAGAAATGTTTTGTCCCGCTTCTGTTTGGCAAAGTGGGAGGAGTGTGGGAGTTCAGGACTGGGAGAAGACAGGGACTGGTGGTCCCAGGTGATGTTTGGCCCCAAGTCGTGGGTGAAGAAATATATGGGAACTGTTAAGGCTCCCAACTCACAGGGTCTGGGTTCAACTCCTGAGTCTGTCACTCACTCTCTGTGTGGTCTGGGGCAATTATTTCTCTGAGCCTCCGTTAAGCCTTTCGCAAAATAGGACGAATAGGTCATCTTACTCGCACAGACATGGCATGAGGATAATACACATAAAGTGCTCAGTGCACAGAAGTGCCTAGAAGATATCAGCTAGGCACTCACTGACAGCTAAGCCCCACGCCAACTTTCTGAATAATGGTACATCACCCCCATTTTGCAGCTGGGGAAACAGAGGCACAGGAAAGCCTGGTCAGTTGCCCAAGCCCTCTCTGCAAACAAGAGCGGGATCGGGACTCGAACTAGATCTCCAGGACCCCAAAGGCGCAGGGAGTGAGAAGAAATGCACCCAAGGAGACAAGGGGATACCATAGGGTTCCTTACACCTGGGTTAGATCCAGCTCTGCCATTAATTAACAAATGACTTTGCTTCTCTGGGCCAGTTTCCACCTCTGTAAAATGGCTATAGCAAGTTGTCAGTCGGTAATAGTAAGCACTCAGTAAACTACCATCACCACCATGACCTCCATCGACAGAGCATGGGACCATGAGACTAGGGTGTAATTAAGGCGAGAGTGAGGAAGGAAGAGGTGCAGTTAGCAGCTGGGGCTGCAGGTGCCACTGGAACAGGCACATACATTGAAGGCCAGAGAGGGGCCACCACTTTTCCACGATCACATGGTTCGCTCCGGTAGGAAGGCCTGGACTAGAACCGGGGTCTCCGGAACAGGGGCCTCGCCCCTTGCCCCTCTGTCACCCCCGTGCAGGCACGCGCCCGGCGGCCCGAGCGCGCGGGGCGGGCCCTGCGGGGGCGGCGGCCAATGAGCGGCGCGCGGGCCGCGG